CCCCCCCCCATGGGGTTGAAATCTGTGTCTTCCTACATCAATCATAATATACATCAATCTGTGTCTTTCTGCAACTAGGGAATGAAATCAGGGTACTTTTCTCATTGCATTATTTGAAGGAATGCTCATCCTCAGGGGGGATGGATACTACTGGAGTTGACTGAGGCATAGAAAAGTAATAAAAGCTGCCCTACAAAGATGCTCTTCTTAATTTTATGAAAAACTGTGGTGACATAATCAAATCATTCAGGGATTTTGCTTGTCACAAATCAGATGGCAAGCTGTTCCACGACTCAGCTCCAGGGAATAAATTGGATAAGGGAACAGCAATTGTGAGATGAAAACCCCTAGGGTGCCAAATGCTCCCGGGTCGACCAGGGGGTTGGCAAATGCCTGCTCCCTCGACAGTGATAAAATTTCAAACGCCGCAACCCCGGCGGGTGCCTGGCTACCAGAGCTGGGTACGGAGGCGAGGTGACGGGAGATAGACACTGACAGAATGTTCGGTAAGTTAAGTTTACTAATATGTAAATGCTGATCGCCAGTTAATACCAGTGATCCAGTGATCACTGATTGGCCTTTCAGGTTAAATAAAGTCTTTTATTTACTAGTAAGTCTTATAATAAGTGAATAAGTACGATGTGATTAAATGCAAACCCATTTTGCCCAAGTTATTTCATCTTAATTCAACCTACCTGCACAATTCTTCTTGACTCTCTCTAATTCTGCTTTCCTTCTCGCAGACAGTACTAATTTACAGCCATATTTCACCAGCTCATAAGCCAAATATTCACCGATACCGCTCGAAGCGCCAGTAATCCAGACCACTTTCCCGCGCAAGGCAACCGCTGGATCTTGACCGATCTTCTCATAAATCATCAATGTAAAATCCCCATCTTGGAATTTGAAAAGTAAGAAACAAACAAGAGGAACAAGAACTGCAGCAATCAAGGAATTTCGGCCCACCATGACCATGATCCGAATACGTTGTTAGATAGAAGACACGTGACCAACCGTGACAGAATGGCTGGTTTGCAGTGTCACGCCATTAAAAATAAAAATCATAACCATTCAATAAATTAAGTCAAGAAGCTGGGATGTGAAAGGTGATTGATATATAAACAACCTCGCCAAGATTTAGGTCTGTGCAGTTCTTCATTCTCCCGCTATTCGGAGAAGTGTTTCACACAAATTTATAGAGCTTTGTATGGAGTCGCCATGTTTGTGCCCCTCGGAGGGACAGAAACATGGCGCCCGTAAAGTAACAGAAACATCTGTCATTGAGTTTACCCATTGAAACGAAAAGTCATTACTCTAGAGTTCCGACACATTGAAATTACCACTTTTTCTAGAGCAACAACTGTTTAGTTAGCAAAAACTTGAGCAATAACTCATCTTTTTGACCATTCGAGAGCCTTATCGGGCCGCTATTTTAATGTCACACAACGCATAAACTTGGAAATTCAAACGTGCCCTATTTCAAAATGAGGAACCCTGTCGAGCTTAAACGCTGCAAAACATGAAGTCATTAAAGGGTCTTACATCTGATGAAACTAAAACTTCAGAAGGATTGGTAATTTCTTATTTTGGAAAATGATGACGTCACATGAAAAGCAGCAATTTGATAATTAGATTAGTTCTTGTTTATCGGTGAAATGAAAATCTACGTTTTGAATCAGGAAAACAAAATCGTTCCTCTTCGACTTTTCAGCAGATATTTAACTTTTATATTGTATTTATCTCCAGCAGTGAGTTAAAAAAATACACATCTTTCTCATATTTTCGTGGAAACAAAGGTATCTTGTTGCATACATTGGTGAGGAAAACAAAAGTATCAAAATTAATTACAAACGTTGGCGTGAAAAGTAATGCTACAAAATGAACGAAACTCGAGATAAAATACCACAAATTTAAAATCGTCTTGACAAACGGTAATTGTAAGTTATTTTTGGGCAAAACACAAACGCGAAACACACACACTGCTAAGATTATGTCTAATCAAGTTTTTGTCCGCCCATATTCTGCAGAGGAGAAAAGGCCTAGTTGACTAGCAAGGGAGAGAACAGCAGGTGTGAGGATCTGTGTGACTACTGCATCGGAGCCGTAAATTACACTCTGCACTATCTGAGATTGTCTCACTAGTTTCAATTTGAGGGAAATCTGTATGAACAAGTCGATGGCGTCGCGATGGGTTCGCCTCTGGGACTCCTAATGACCAATGCATTCATGTGTACAAGTGAATCTAAGAAAGATCATATATTTGAACTGGGGAGAAAGATATGAAGACATGACATCAGTCATGTCTTCATATCTTTCTCCACAGTTCAAATGTATGATCTTTTATATATTCATTTGCATTCTTCACCATCTGCGCACATATAACAAACTCACAACACGATCAGCTCCCAGTTGGTTTGATAGCGCAGTTGGCAGAGCACCGCACCAGTATCGCCGAGGTAATGGTTAAAATCCCGTTCAGGCCTGATTTTTTTTTTCTTCTTTTTTGAGGCTTTTTAAATTTCACAGCTGCTAAAGTTGTATAATAGCTGCAATGATCAATCATGTCTTCATATCTTTCTCCGCAGTTCAAATTTATGATCTTTCATATATTCCCTTGCATTCTTCACCATCAGTTGGCTTGATTGCTCAGTTGGTAGAGCACTGCACCGGTATCGCAGAGGATCCCGTTCAAGCCTGAACTTTTTTCAGGCTTTAATTTCACAACTGCTTAAGTTGTGTATGTAACTGCGATGATCAATCAGGTCTTCATATCTTTCTCCGCAGTTCAAATATATGATCTTTCATATATTCACTTGCATTCTTCACCATCAGTTGGCTTGATTGCTCAGTTGGTAGAGCACTGCACCGGTATCGCAGAGGATCCCGTTCAAGCCTGAACTTTTTTCAGGCTTTAATTTCACAACTGCTTAAGTTGTGTATGTAACTGCGATGATCAATCAGGTCTTCATATCTTTCTCCGCAGTTCAAATATATGATCTTCATATGTTCGCTCGCATTCTTCACCATCTACGGGTATATAACAAAGCCACAACATGATCAGCTCCCACTTTGCTTGATAGCTCAGTTGGCGGAGCACTGCACCGGTCTGCATTCATGTGTGGTATCGAAGAACGACTTCAAGACCAAGGCAAAATACCAGATTTCTACAAACGCTACGTGGACGACACGTTGAGCGTAATGCCCAACGTTGAAACAGTTGCAGCATTTCTCTCGAGCTCCACACTGAATGAGAGCCATCCTTCAGTCAGTTAGCTTCACCATGGAACTAGCCGAAAATGGCAAACTTCCTTTCCCTAGGGGAGGAAATCGGCAAACCCATGTCCCGCCTGGGGACAAAGGTGTATCAGAAGCCAGCAGACACTGGAACAACAGTCACTGATAAAAACGATGCTGGATCATGCTTTTAAGCTTTCATCTAACTGGTAACTGTTCCACCTAGAATGTGAACGTCGAACGGAGACTTTCTCTTGACTTCAGTACCCAGTCCTACTCTTGCAGTCAACAATCGTTGATTTTGTTACTGCAAAAGTTTCAGAATATTTAAGATCCGAACAGATGTGTGACGAGAAGAAAGCATCTGTGAGAGTAATATTTCCATTGAAGGACTAGAGATCAGCCAATTCTGTGCGAAGACAACTTGGGGAATGAAGTCGCAAAATCGGAACAAATATCCAACCCGTCTACACAAGCCGAAAGATCGGATCCAAGATCAAGCCAAGAAAAAAGAAACACCCTATCGTGAATCAACAATGCGTTTTATACCATTTCAAGTGTAATCTGTACAATGCAGTTTATGTCGGCTACACATGCCAACACCTGTATCAACGTACTGAGGAAATAAGGGGTCTGCGATTGGGAAATACGTCAGAGAGCATCATGGGAGAGACCCAAGTGACATGGACCTTCAATCTAAGATCTTACGGTAGTGTCAGAGCAAATTTGACTCCTAAATTTATGAGATGCTTTTTATAAAAGAACTAAAGCTAACTTTGAACAAGCAGTCTGATTCCATCAGTGCAAAATTATTTTTATAGAGCAGAGTGTTTTATATTTTACACTAATTACATCTTTTGCATTTTTTGTCCCATAAATTGTCTTATCTAGCCTTTAGTCCAGGCTTTGTTGCTGAGCTTTCTTAGAATTCGGTCCGCTGGTATGCTTAAGAAAAAGAAATGTCTTATATAACCCATGATAAAGAAAGCGGGTAGCAGCGAAGGATAAAAGGGGTAAATATCTCTTCTTTAGGAGGTAAAAAGCCTAAACACTTAGTTTGCGTGAGGGTTTACGGCCGTCTATTTCGTGTCCAGGTCAGGGTAAGGGAAAGGCTTGATAAAACTTGTGAGATTCCAAGAGGTCTGGTCAGACCAGAGTTAAAAACATTTTCCAGAGATGAAACACGCCACCTGATTCCTGCCATAAAACAGACATATGAAGGTTAGAACACCCAGATTTTGTCTCCGGATACGGGCTTGTTCTGTGATTAGTGGGGGAAAGTAATTCGTAGTAAGATAAGTTTGCTGTTTCCTTTCACAGACCAGATCGATGCTACTGCGGAGAGGCAGAGTTCAACCAGAACGAAAAGGTCTCAGCGAAACAGAGAGACTGTGGGAGGTAGAGGTAATCTCTTTTTGTATGTCATTTTTAAAGGATCAGCATGGAGGGGCCACCATGAATCGGTGGTCACACTCAACTAAAGGATACATAGTAAAGAGACAAATTGCTTGAAATTAGTGCTAAATTCCAGTGCCAAATTTTGGACACTATGCAGAGCTTCCAGTCATGTCGAAGCGCCATCAACAGTGGAGTCCACGTGATTGTCTCTCGACAGTTGCAACAGATATTGAGAGAGCAACACGAACTTATGTAAATAATTGCATAGTTTCAGCCTAAGATTTTCAAATGCCAACAAGGGAGTGTTTTTCCTTTGATGGTAATTGCTTAAATTACCAGCCATTCGTAAATAACTCCGGAGTCAATATCGCCAATAAGGTATTGGACAGTAATTCAAGATTAACATCCTTACGCAGCACTTTACTAGAAAAGTCAGGTAAGCCATCAAAAACTGCTCCATAATCTTTGACCCGAAGAAGGGCTACAAGAAATCTCAGGAGTTTTTGTACTTTAAAGCATCCGCAAACAAAACCAAGTGTTTTTCATGGAATAGTCCTTTCTGAAGGCATCATGAAAGTCGGATGTCGTCTCGAAAAAAAACACCAGTTTCAGTCTTCGGCTGGATGTGTTCACGAAGCAAGACATTCAACAAGCGCTTGCGCTATACGCAAAGCTTAGCCAGCTCATTCTGGAAGATGTAGGTGAGAGGATATTACCTGCGCTTCAGACGACTCAGGAATAGATAAGCATTCTTCGTAATTTTGTTTTGGTGACTTGATTTTCATCGTTGGCGAGAAAATGCCACGAGGTCGCTGGCCGATGAGCGTCTTTGAGGAACTCTATCATGACAGTGATAGAAGTGGCCTGCATGTGAAAGTGAAAACAGCCTCATCTGTTTTAAGTCGAGAAATCAGAAAGTTATGTCTCCTTGAAGTATTCCAGGAATCCAGGTGTTAATTTGTTTCAAGTTTAGTGCTACTTGTGCGTGGACTTTGTTTCAGAGTTTGACCTTTGTGATAGGAAACACAAACAGCATAATTTAGTAGTTTTGTTTTTGGTGGAACTAATTGGAGCTGATTCGGGGTCGGTATGTAGGCAAGGAAATCACTTTTAGTAAGCGGTTGCAGTATAGTACTTAGGCCTGTGTGGTCGTATTTAAAGGCGTGAGAAGCGTGTTAGTGAGAACGTTTACAATAATCGGCGTTTATAATGTAGTGTCGTCCGTCAAGTTTTATAAGTCCTAGAATCCCGTCGTCAGGTAAATATAAATATTTGTACTTGTACTTTCGTTTGCTTGTTGGCAGTTGTAACCACTTACCCATTTTTTGTAGAAACTGCATTTAGAAAACTGTAGTAGAAACTTTAGTAGATAGCACGTCCACATCGGCTTTCAGCTGCTGTAACAACCTAGTTATCAGATAAAGTATGTATGTATAAAGTATGTATGTAAACCACTGGAGAAACGCTTAGCTGGATCGTTACGCGTTAATGTTGAAGGATGTTTGAAATAATATACGATCAATTTAGCAGCCCACCGGCTTCTGGTGCGTTTTCTACACAGTCACCGTCCTTTAGAGGCACAGGCCTCGCGTTGTGTCCTATTATGAATTAATTCGGCCTGTCAAGGATAGATAACAAATGAGCCATGTGCGAGTTCGAACTATACCGAAAACACTGACAAAATCTATGACTACTGACTTAAAAACAAACTATGACGCTGAGAAGTGTACCTCAGAGGTTGAAAAGAAAAACAAGAATTGTCAGGAGAACATCTTTCGTTGAATAATCAGTTACAATAATTCTTTGAAATCGAGGTAGATATTCTGCCGCTATTCACTGAGATGGAAACGAATAATTGTTTAGCACATACACACGAAGTTATCTCATCAACAGACAAAACGGAAACCATTAAAAGTCGATTTAATTGACCTCAATTCATGCCTGAAAAACGTGCAAACGCACGAAGCATGCGCTAAACTATTTATTTACAGAATTTTCAAACATAGTTTTGCAAGCAGAAATTGTGCTTGCAAAACAGATTCACCGCTCAATTAAAGTTTTCTTTTTCACTTGAAATGAAAATTAAAAGAACATTTGGCGAAGGATCAACCAGCTGAAACAGGCTGAAATTATATAGTGTTCGCTACACTTTGGGGAAACTGAATGTTTTCTTGCACAACAACGTGGAGGTGCTTGGTTGAATAACACTTGATGCTTGTGCCAATGAACCCTGCGGTATTTGCTTTTGCCAATGCCGGGTGAAGAGTGAATTGGCTGGGGTTTCTTTAGATTGATGAAATCTGCTCGAAAGTCGGACGTGGGTAAGTCTTTTCTATCCTTTGAAAACTTTCA